CTTCTCTCTCAGCCAATTGTGCGTAATAAGCTGCCAAAGCATCTTGCGACTCTTTGTCCTTCAATTCAGAAACGTTAGCAGAAGCCGCATTAGGGGTCAGGTTGTCCATACCTTCGTCTGCATTTGCCATAGGAGTGTTCGTGGATGAAATGTCCATGGTAGCACTACCACTGTCGGCCGCATCTGATTGGATTTCATTTTCTGACTTGATACTAGGCACAGGAGTTCCTTCATTTGGCGTAGATAATTCATCATTGTCATCATCCAATTTACCCAAAGACGACTTGCCCACAGTACCTTCCGAATGCCATGAAGGTAATGCATTTTGCTGCAACTTTTGTCTTCTTTCTTCCTTTTCTTGCTGTTCTCTCTCGTAGTTTTCATCGTTGGCTGTAATAGAGACGTGCAATGTAGCTTGTGATTTGGAGGCATCGTTCTGTAATGCTGACAAGTTGGACCTTGACCTTGACAGAATACGGTTCGATACAGAATAGGACGCACTGGTGGATGATTGTGCTGGAATCGACTTCACCAACGATGATTCAAACGTGTTGTCTTCGATGTATGCATCGTCAATCTTCTTCAAGTAAGAAATAACTGGGTCCACCTGATTCATCAATTTTTCCAACTTGGCCTGTCTCAACGATGCCTGTTTGCTCGAGTCGTCCTCTATTAACACCCCTCCACAGTTGTCACATTCGAAATTGGTCTTATCGTCGCTCAAAAGCGATATGGCATCCAACTGCGACACCTTTTTACCACATCTCGGACACACATACCCCTGAGGATTCCCATAGTGTGTCATTTCTTCCTTGATGATATTGACTATCGAATGCACCTTCCACTTAATCGAATCAATCGCCTCCGTGGTATGGATGTAGAAGTATGTTCTGGTGATAAGCCTCTGCTGTGCATTCTCTTCCTTCTGGATGTGATTTACCAATAATCTATCCTCTACTAACTTATTGCATAGCGACCTTAATTCTTTCCGATGGATACTCAATAAATATATCAAGTCGTCTTCCGACAACACTGAATGCAACAAAACAGCATCTAGGATCAACACATACGGCTTCGAATAAAACCCTCGCGCCACGAACCGAATTAGAGATCTAATAGTATCATCCATCTCACCTATAACAATCTTTTTTGCCAAAAGAGTCTACTAAGCGTTAGATGGAGCATCAAGACAAGCATATCGCTTCAAAAGTGCGCTAATTATGCAATTTGTTAGTACTGTAAATTACCGACATCAAGGCCAAAACCTCGCTATTTCTACGAAAACAGCGTAAGTATCAGCATGAAACCTCATAAATTGGCAAAAAATCGACCACAACTTATGTTGGATACCCCAAGTAGGTCTAACTTGCTACTGTCAGCCTCATGAATAACGCTGCATGCTGTTGTTACATAACCCTTGATCTATTGTTATATTTTTCCTTAATAATGCATGTTTTAATGGTTTTAGAATCAGAGAGGAACAGATTTCAGCCCAAATCGCGAAACGCGAATCTTGAGATTCAAACATAGACAACGCGTTTGTTCTACATAATAGAGATGCTAATTAAAAGAAGATGATTCCCATAAAATTCAGATTATAATTGAATATATAATTAGCATTATACTTAATACCAGATTTGAATCCCAAGAGCAAATTACAAGATTTAACCAAGTTAACAAGATTAAAGAAGTATATTGAAGTTTTGCTGGTCCCTATAGAGCAATATCAGGGATATTAAGAGAAAGCAAAAAAAAAAATTCCTTCTTTTGAAATAAAGAAAACGAAATAAGGATAAGTTCACGTATAAGCAAGGATTATATTCGCAATATAGTAGTAAGATTAGAAGATTTAAGATGTCAACCGCTGGAAGGTATATGGACAGAGCTCCGTTGAGGGAGAAGAACGCGGGTAATATTGCTGCGAGTAGTAGCAGAGAAAAGACCAGGTTGACGGAGACTCCCAACACACACAAGAGCCGGAAGATCACCACGCCGCCAGAGAGTGTACTGGTGTCGCGTAAAAAGAGTTTGATCTTGGAGACGCCGATTTCGAAGCATTTCAACGATGACGGGTTGAATAGCACTAGTAATGGGGAGACGGATAATACAAAGTCGGCATTGTTGTCACCAGCATTTTCGTCGCCACAGCAGCAAAGCCAACGCCGGATGAAGGATAGCTTTGATATACCACCCAAACCATCGTTTGTTCAGTCGTCGTCGGCGTCGGTTGATTCGGATGACGAGAAATACAAGAGTAAGAAGAAGAAGAAGACCAAGAAGGACTTGAAGGATACAACATTCCAATTAGGATCCCACGATAAACCCCCGTATTCATATGCTACGTTGATTGGTATGTCGATTTTGAGCAACCCCGAAAAGAGGTTGACGTTGTCACAGATATACCAGTGGATATCAGACACATTCAAGTATTACCGCCGGGAAGAAGTAGGATGGCAAAACTCGATTCGTCATAATTTGTCGTTGAATAAGGCGTTTATAAAAGGAGAGAAATCGAAAGATGGCAAGGGCCATTTTTGGTGTATTCAACCGGGATGTGAAGAACAATTCTTGAGATCAAAGAATAGCAAGAAGCATTCTTACCAAGAAATCATCGATCAAATCTACGCATCAATCCATCCTTCCAAATCGTCAATTAACTCCATACCATCTTCACCTAATGTTTCTAATGAAGATTTGAAGCGCAAAGCATCTGATACTGATGATGCAGCCAGCTACGAGGGATATGAGGACGATGAAGACCAAGAAGACGATGAAGAATACACAAGATCAATTTTAAATCCTCCTATTAAGAAGCAACGGTTATTATCTGCCACCACTGGGAATGGCACATTGGAGACTATTCCAAATCTTGAGGCACCATTCAGTCAATGGCAGGCTACTCCAAGCGGGTTTAAAATCTCTAATTCACCTAATACCTCAAACTCCAACAACCCTCCACAATTTGTAATAAGTGAATCCCCAGGCAAGCCATTATTGGCAGGAAAAAACTTAACATTCACTTCATCCTTTAGCTGTAATTCAAACTTAGAATTATCTCCAATTAGGCCCAGTGAAACTGGTCCTCTATTAGAACCGTTAACACCCGCTAATAATGTCTACAGAAACGGGTCATTGCTTAATCATCAATTATCAGCTTTCCACTATCAATCACACCATCCACATTTATCATCATCGACTACATCAACATTATTACAGCAATCCATACAACAACCCCACAACGTTAAAACACCGAAATCATGCAGTCGGACTCCATTGAGAAACTTAAGAACTCCTCAAACGGCATCTATCATGAAAAAATTGTGGAATTCACCATCATACTTAGAGGAATTCTATTATTCCCCGTTGATTTCATCATCGCAAGCAGCCTTGAATTCCTATGATGATGACGACATGATAATGAGAGCTTTCGAACTGCCAAGCAACAATGCACATGATCATAATAAGAGACCTTCAATCTCGTCAACTTCTACGAATTCTAGTAGAAATTTGTTCAATGATTTGAAGAAAATTGATCATTCGAGTAGAAATAGCTCAACGTCAAGTAACAATGACAAGGAAAGAACACGTTTACGCAGTGTTAGTGCATCTTCCACCGATAAGGATGATAATTGAATGGTAACGATTTAAGGGGTATGATTAATTGTATATTATAGGGTATTACAAACGGTTGGGTAACTTTAATTATTAATTTCGTGTTATGTATTATTAATTTTATAATTTATTAGTTTCAGATTCTGTAGTCTTATGTGTAACTGAGCTTAATAACTTTAAAGCTATACATATTAGCCATCAATTTCATTATGTAAGATTATTGAATGGACTACCTATGCTATATCCTCTTGATCTCCGGATCTCTAATCTGTGCTTGCACATCCTTTGCATCCACATGTAATGCATTCGACCCTTTCAGAATGGTCATTCTTGACTAAGGTCATCTTAGGAACACGGCATATGCACGTCGTCCCGTGGTTTTTTTCGTTGGTCATTATGCAATTCAAACAACATAGCTTTTCGTACCCTTGTTTCTTCCATTTAGCGATAAGATTCTTGTTTGCATATTTCTGTTGAAGCAACCAGTTATACAATTCCTGCGATATCAGCTCTCGTTCGTAATACAAACTATATATATATCTGTTAATTTGATGGTTTATCTGTATTATAGGCCATAATGATTGATTCTTATTTTCAGTTTTGATAGATTTGGTTTGTGCCTCTCTCGATTTTACTAAAAGCTTGGTTAAAGTGGGCTCTATCTTACTATAACCCTCTGGAGGTTGTTTGTTTCTTTTAGATGATGATATTTTAGCCATATTCTTCAACTCTTATACGAACTGTTTATAAAAAATAAGAAAAGGAAATCATAGCTTCTTAACTATGGTGAACCACCATAATCCATGCTGCGCGATGAGAGCCAAAAATAAAAAAAAAAATAACGACAACAGCAGGATTCGAACCTGCGCGGGAAATCCCAACGCATCACTCTAATTATTCGAGTGCGTCGCCTTAACCACTCGGCCACATTGTCGCTTTATATCATCTACAAAATATTTCTTCTTTATGATATGCTTATACAGAATCTTCAGGAATTTGAATACGTGAATGTTTACATGTTTGAGCTTGCTATTTTAGAAAAATTTAAATAGCACCAGTAGGAGATTAGCGAAGGGCTGAAACAATAGTGCCTGTATATGGCCATTCGCCTTCTTTTCCTGGTTGCATTTTAATAGCCAGGATCGATCTAGTGGAATTATATAAATACTTATGTAATACTTGTTTATAAAGTTTTATGTTTAGTGGCATTGGAAGATCAAAATAAACGTAAAACTAAGTTCAAAGATATATCGAAGAATTTTATATTGTTTCCAGTTGCAAGAATATAAGCTCGAATAAGGTTGATTGTTTACATCGTTGGCTGGATTTTATTTTATTCATTTATAGTTTATATTATTGCCTAAGTCCATCAATACGCAAAAGCCAAAATGGCGGCAACTCCTACATCAACGTCCGCCGTTATTACTACATTAGTGGCTAATTTGACACTATTTGGAGTATTCGTTGGATGCTTCTTAGTATTGAGGATCAAATTTAAGCGGACGTATTCGCCTAAGTATTCATACGATTTGGTTCCGGAAGAAAAGAAACCGGAGCCATTACCTAGAGATCCGTTGAGATGGATCTTTATATTGTTAATGAAGCCCGACTCGTTCGTTATTCAACAGGCTGGTCTTGATGGGTACTTTTTTTTGAGATACCTCTTCGTCTTCGGCCTTATATTTTTGTTTGGTATTGCCATGCTTGCGATTTTATTACCAGTGAATGCGACAAATGGTGGATCAAAAACAGGGTTCGATCAATTGGCCATTTCGAACGTTTTAGACAAGAATAGGTACTACGCTCATGTTTTTATGGGATGGATATTTTACGGAGCTGTCATTTACATGATCCACCGAGAATTATTTTTCTACAACTCGGTCCGTTGTGCTGCTTTATCATCACCAAGGTATGCAAAAAAATTATCATCAAGGACTCTTTTGATCCAGTGCGTGCCTGATACTATGTTAGATGAAAAGCAATTCTTGAAGATTTTTAATGGTGTTAAAAGAATTTACGTTGCTAGAAACGCAAGGAAGTTAGAATATAAGGTCAGATTAAGGGAAAATATGGTTTCCAGGTTAGAAAAAGCTGAGAACAAGTTATTGAAGTCTGCAGTCAAAGCCAAATTAAAGGCTGATAAAAAGGGTACTTCCATTGACCCAAATGCCGATATCTATGCTTACGTTCCGGAAGAGAAAAGACCTAGACACAAGTCAGGCGGTCTCTTCTCGAAGAAAATTGACACCATAAATTACTGTAAAGAGGAAATTCCCAAGTTAGATAAGGAAGTTAAACTGTTACAGAAGAAATATAGAACATATCAAGCAAAAAACTCTATTTTTGTTGAATTTGAGGATCAATATACTGCACAATTGGCGTTACAAACAGTTACTCATCATAATCCTTTAAGAATGGGTCCAGTCCATACTGGTATAGAACCATCTGACGTTTACTGGAATAATTTGCGATTATTCTGGTGGGAAAAGTTTTTGAGAAAAATATTCGCTTGTGCTGATGTTGTTCTTTTAATTATTTTTTGGGCTGTTCCTGTGGCATTCGTAGGTGTGATCTCGAATATCACTTACATTACTAAAGTCTTACCTTGGCTTGATTGGATTAATAACATGCCAGATCAATTATTAGGTATTATCACTGGTTTGTTGCCAACAGCCATGTTATCACTCTTGAATACATTTTTACCTATTTTTATCAGATACATGGCCAAGGCTGCAGGCTGTCCAACTCTTCAGCTGATTGAATTCTATACACAAGATGCTTATTTTGCTTATTTAATGGTCAATGCGTTCCTTGTTGTCGCTATTGCTTCTTCAGCTGTGTCAGTTGTTCAGAAAATTATTGATAATCCTACATCGGCGATGGATATTTTGGCAAACAATTTGCCATTATCGTCTAATTTCTTTATCTCATACATTGCATTACAAGGGCTTACAGTTTCTTCTGGTGCGTTATTACAAATTGTTGGTCTCTTCTTGTACTATATTTTAGGAGCTTTACTTGATTCAACTGTTAGGAAGAAGTGGAATAGATTTTCTGGATTAGGTGGAATGTTATGGGGTACAACCTTTCCGGTTTACACGAACTTAGCGTGTATTGTTTTAGCCTATTCGATCATTGCACCAATGATATTGATTTTCGCCTGCATCGCTTTCTTCTTGTTATACATCGCTTATTGCTACAACTTAACGTATGTCTTTATTGAAAGTCCTGATTCGAGAGGAATGCATTATCCAAGAGCTTTAATGCAAACCTTCGTTGGCTTGTATCTTGGCCAAGTTTGTTTATTGGGTATTTTTGTTGTCGGTAAAGGTTGGGGACCAATTGTTTTACAAGCCATCTCTCTCGGATTTACTATTATGACACACATTTATTTGCGAGACGCTTTTCATAACCTCCTTAGGGTGATTCCTATTGACTGTATGAAACCCTTGGACGGTGTTTCTCATACCCCATCGTTCCAAGGCAAATCGGATTACGAAGAGAAGATTTTAGAGAGAAAGAAAAGGTCCAAATCAAAGCACTTCGAGAAGGAGGTTGCCCGTGATAAGATGGCTCAAGAAGAAGTCAAGAACGATATTTTAAATATCGATATGGAACTAAACGAAAATGAAACGACGCAAACGTTGGTCCCATTATTGGCCGACAGAGACTTCAAGAATACTGAATCATCCAATGCTTTCGTCAGGTTCTTTAGACCGGATGTTTTCCTTAACTATAGACATGTAAAGGCTCTCTTACCAGCAACGTTTAACGTTGAACCGGAAGAAGCAGATGACAAACATGCTTATGATTCACCTGTGATTGCAGCACCTTTACCTGCTGTCTGGATTCCAAGGGATCCAATGGGATTATCTACGAGAGAAGTTGAAGAACATTCCAAATACATCAACATAAGTGATGAAAATTCTGGATTTAATGAAAAGGGTAAGATTATTTTCCTTGGTGAAGCCCCAAATTAGACATTTTCCAAATCCACAAGTTATAGTCTGATTCTTTTCTTTATTATTCTACATGCATATCTATATATATTATTCTACATGCATATCTATATATATTATTATATATACATTACAATCAACGTCAGCTATTGTAGAGTTCTTATAGTTAATAGGTTCGGATCATGGTTTCTTGAATAATTTTGTAACCGCGGGGCAGTCCCAGAAAATGAGATATACCTCGGCAAAGTGAATTCGATAATGACAATAAACATTACCACTTCTCTATAGATAGGAATAACGATAAATTTTGAAATAGATGTCTTTTTTGAAAAGTTTGTTATCAAAGAATGGTGAATCACTTTTTCGTACAAATATGAACAATACAGCAATATCGAGGTTATTTATCACCAAACAGCATCTCCAACCGACTCGTTGCAACTCCATTTTACATACACCACGAAGTAGTATAAGTAACGTTGACCAAGGTACCAAGTACACAACGGATTTTAAGAATTATGCTGTCAATAAGGAAAGTGGACAAATTTTGTCTTACTTTCACGACGTTCCGTTAGATTTTGACATAGAGACAAAGTCAGCGAATATTGTTGTTGAGATCCCCAGGTGGTCCAATGGTAAGTTTGAAATAAATACGGAATTGCCCGGTAATCCTATCACACAAGACGTCAAAAAGGGAAAGGTGCGTTTCGTTAAGAATTTATTCCCTTATCATGGATATATTCATAATTATGGTGCCTTCCCACAGACTTGGGAGGATCCTAATACGAAGAACGAAGAGCTAGATTTATATGGAGATAATGATCCGTTGGATGTGTGTGAAATTGGATCTAGTGTTTGCCAAACCGGTGATATTAAACGAGTTAAAATCTTGGGATCTTTAGCATTAATAGATGATGGTGAATTGGACTGGAAAATTATTGTAATCGATACCAATGATACCCTATCACAAGAGCTTCGTGATATCCATGATGTGTTTGTTAAATGCCCTGGGTTATTAGAATCTACTAAGCAATGGTTTCGTGATTACAAATTGCCGGATGGAAAGCCTAAAAATGAGTTTGCTTTCAATGGGGTTTACAAAAATCAACAGGAAACAATAGAGATCATTAAAGAATGCAATTCATCGTGGCAAAAATTGATTAATGGAAAGGTCACTAGTGGAAAGATTCCAAAAATTGAAAACGTCACACTTGCAACTACCCCGGGGCATATTACAGAGTTCGATTCTAAAAAATTGTTAGATAATGCTTCCAACCCCCCTGCCAAAATCCCCTCGGAAGTAGACAAGATATATTTCAATGGCCAAGATTAGCTTACATTGTTGATGCCTTGATAACCTGAATGCATGATTTTATAATTCTTATTAGCGTAGTTAGTGTAGGTTGTATTTCGGCGTTTTGCAATTATTTCCAATTTAGGAAGTCAAAAATTTCCACCATCTCACACATCGAAACAAAAACATAAGCAACATAGTAAAAGATCCAATATTAGAGCCGTACTATAAAGAGATATTCCTAACGGTTTAAATATGCCTGTTTCTACCGTAGAGCTAAAGGCGGCCAAGGAAGTTAAACCTTTGAAACCCATTCAACCTACTCAATTATGGGGATTCGACAATGCCCTTTCATTATTGAAATCATATCAAGACCCATACATTCTTGATGCATTAGATGAATTTCTACTTATTAACAGTAAGCTATTGTTGAATCCATTACCGTTTAAACGTGTGACCAAAAGTTCTAATAAGGAGGCTAAAGAATTATCGTTGCGTAATATTTTATATTCAGACATAACACCAAGTAATATTAAAGACGCTGAAACCATAAGCAATGTATTGAATTTAGATTACAATGATGTATTAAGAGTAATAAGCCAAACTTGTAAACGTATCCCTGAAAGAAAGGTTTACAATTATGAAAAATTAAAATCCAAATTGCCAGATGATAGAGAAAAATACCTAGAAGAAGAAAGAATTTTGCTTTATTCCAGCAGAGTATTGAGAGAAAAAAGGATAGTTCTTCGCTTGGTTATTGAATTGTTAAACAATAAGTCTAATTCAGAAACTTCTTCGACCATTCAAAACTTGGGAAAGGAAATATATCTTTCTAAAACATACATCAATGACTTAATCAATAGCCTAGAAGAATTGATCAAATCAGTTGCTAATAGATCATTTATTACTGGGTTTTCAGATGCATTAGATGAGATAATAAATACGGAAAACCTTCTTCTAATTATTGATCAAATGAGAATATTGACTGAATTGCTCGTTCAAAATCCAAACATACAACAGGATACAGTAAATCATTGGTTTAAATTCATGAAGTCAAATAATTTTATTCAGTCATTGGGCCCATGTGTTTCACATAACGAATCTTTCATGTTGATGCAAGCGCTTGCTACAGTCATCTCGATATTGTTCTTAGATTTGGAGAACAACTATGGATCAGAAAGTGATTCTGATAAATTTATGAATAATGCTGAAAATTTCAAATCAATTAACGACTCGATAACAAATCCATCCAATTTAAATTCTGTGGTCATGTACAGTTGGTCAATAATTTTATTAAGAAAGTCATTACTATTAGAAGAATATAGAGATCTTCCATCGTCAGTAGCATTTACGAAGCAATTTTCGATTCAACAAATGGATGACTCTATCAATAACTTAAATATGAGATGTGTCCAATTGGGTGTCTTTGAGAACTTAGCAAAGCTTAACAATTTGCTTAAATTCGATAATATTTACCCAGCGATTTTAACGTCCGTTATTTTGTCTGCTATGCCATTAATCTCATTCACACCGGAAATTGCGTCTAGCATTGAAAGTATTTTGAAAACAGCGCCAAATAGTGTTCTTGAAAAATTTTTCGATAATGAAGCAACTGCAAATGCAATAATTTTGTCAAGAACCAAGTTTCCAGTATCTCTAACCCCTTATTTGAAACTTGCATCAATTAATGGTAATTTTGCTTTTAACGAGTTAGAAGAATTAAAGTCATATATTTCAGTCTTCAAGAAACAGGAATTTAATAACTTATATCAAATAGATGATGAGAATACTGAATTGGTTAAATTGACGCAGTGGATTGATGTTTATCCACCATACGAAGTAAACAAAAAATTATCATTACTTCTCAATGTCGGGACAAAGGCAAAAATTTTACCGTCTGCAAATGAAGATGAAGTCTTAGTTACGTTCTTATACAAATATAATGGTTGGGCATTTTTGGGAAGGGTATTGCAAAATGTTTCAAAGGTCTTTGATAGTTCAGATCCAGAAAAAGTAGAATTTGTCATAAACATATTAAACCTCTTAACAAAAGCGGTGATGGATAATAGCTCTGATGACGCTCAAACAATTTTGAAATATATGTCAGCCTATACAGATGATTCTGATATTGTCGAAGTTATCTTAAGATTATTTGAACAAGCATTGCATGCCCGAAAAGTCGATATTTTAGAATCAGTTATAAACTTTTTGACTATTTCGATGCCGTTTTTGTCTTTTAGGATTTGGCCTTATTTATCGAAGTCTTCATTATTATCAAATGGCGGTAAAGAAGGACTTGCATCAATAATATTTGGGGCTATTGAAATGGTAAATGGAGATTATTCGTTCACAGTATCTTTAATAAAGTTAGCAGATTCATTAGTACAAAATTGCTTAACATTACAGGATGATTATCCAGAGAAATCGAAAAGCACTATTTTAGATAGAATTATAAATCATATGATTCTTGTATTTGAAAGTTTTGTCCATTGCAGATTTAATGAAACCTATCAAAAAATGGAAATTGGCGTTCTAATTTTAGACATTTTATCAAATATTTTAGCAACTGTTCATGGAATTGATAATGAGAGCAAATCTTCAAACAGAATTGCGAGAATCTTCTCAGAATCATCGTCACGGATCATTGATTCGTTTTTAATTGCTGGGACAGAATTTTCAAGATCTGCATTGCCAATTTTATCCATGATTGAATCACTCAGTGCAAACATGAGCTTATATGAAGTTAGTGACATATCAGGATTTTGGTACGATAATTGGATACGTTGCTCCTTGGCATTTTCTCAACTTATAATATCTATTAGATCTGTGTTGAACTTGCCTCCATCTGCTTTTGAGAGATCCTTATTTACCAAGTTAACGCTGTTGGTTAATACATACTCACAATATGAAACTTTGAGAAAGGATATTTTGGACTTAATAACCACACTAACAAATGGTAAATGGCTAAATGAACCAACTCCCTCTTTATTGTCTCATTTAGGACGCGATCACGCCCAGATCTTATTGCATTCGTTAGCCTCTGATTTAGAGAATTCATTTGATGATTATAAAATGAAAATATCATTATATGATTTCATTTGTGCCGTTATGGATGGTAACCAAGAAGGTCTATCAGTATTATTTATTAGTGGAAGAGACGTCTTTGGCGATTTTACTAAGTCCTCTAATACGAACTCTGACGATCAAAAGCCCATTTCATTGTTAAGTATCTTAAAGAAGAATGTTAGGGATATTAAGTATTATCCTAACTCTGTCAGTCTTCATTTGGCTGACGCAATTTCATTAGCCTTTAACTCTTGGACAACGGCTAGGGAGAATGATAATGATGTGGAATTTGTTGATGAGTTAATCCTTAAGATACAGTCACCTATTAACGAATCACCTGGAACTACGGAAGAGTATATCGCAGCATGCTACGAACTTAAGTTAGTCTCCAAGATAGCAGAAATATTATCTTCTTTCTTATTTACCACTAAAAATGAGGTTTGCAAAAAAAATATTGTCAAATTGTTAACTTCTGATGATTTCATTGCTACAATGGAAAAGCTGTTTCGAATCAATAATTACCAACCAACTTTGCATTCTAATTTGCAGATTAATTTCGAAAATACATTCACTGGATTCGAATTATCTCAATTCACTTGTTCTTTGTTGAAAAGAAATAGGTTTGGTGTTTCAACTGTATACAGTTTGGTTTTGATGGATAGACTCTTTAATAATTCTCCTGCCTGGGATCAATTGAGAGAACAAGTTGTTGCTTCAAGTATTAATTTGCAATATTTAAGTGCTCAAGCTTCGGTTGCAAAATCATTTGGCGCTTTATTAACCGCGTTTTGCAGAAGATTTCCTTCTGCATTGAATTCTAACTTTTTAAACTTGGTTTCACATTTATTAAAAATAAACATTTCGGAGGGAGTTCCAGCAGATTTCTTTGCGGATGTGTTTCAGGGACGTATTGAATTGGCGTTTTTCATTGAATACACAATATATACAACGCCCGATATAAAAAAGGATCTTAATATCGTTCTTGAAATTATTAAGGGCTGTTCGGAATTATTATCCGCTTCGAGTATGAATTTTCTTAAGAATTTGAATGAAGACTCCGGTAATTATAGACCTTTGCTTCGTATACTATATTGTTCGTTAAACATAGTTAAGGATGATTCTGGTATGTTGATTGAATACTTAAGCATTTTCCGTGACCTTTTTGAGCTCATTATTACTAAGGCTACAAAAAACTTGTTTATTGAAATTCAAAATGATGTTTATCTCTCTCGTACCGAAAAGAATCATGTGTCAAATAAGATGAATGGAAGATTGGACGATTTGATGTTGATCTTGTCAATATTGAAAGTTTTCGTTAATATGAAATCATCTCCTACCTTAAACTATGAAATGGCTTCGTTAATTGATGATAATGGTACCATAAAAGCTCTTTTAAATCTTTATTCATTGTCCCATTTAATAGAGGTTAACGATGAACACATTTTTGCCCAGTTGAGTTTAATGTTTATTCAAGAATTGATGACAATCGAAGTTATGGCAGAAAGATTAATATCATCTGGAATGTTCTTGGTAATAGTTCAAAGTAAAATATCCAGTCCCATTGAATCGGGTGGTGTCAATACTCTTATATCACCACATTACCATAGAATTTGGACTAATGGGATCTTACCAATATTCTTAACAGCATTATCTAGACTAGGACCAAGCATTATTCCGGAAGTAAGCTTGGCACTTCAAGCGTTTGGTAAACAGATTGAATCATGTATTGAGAGTTGGTCCAAGGACTCATCCACGATAAGAATTACGTCTTCCATGATATCTGAAACTAGTCAAATCTTACTATTATTCAAAATGTTACAATCATTGAATATTAACGATTATTTAAATCAAGCAGCAATTGCAAGAAATATCGAGACTGCTTCTCATACCATTGATATGCAACTATTACCAGGTTTGGAAACCGAATCCAAGCGTGATGATTTTGTCGAATGTATCAACAATTTGTTGAAACACCCAAAGTTCTTATCCTCAAGAATACTTCCATGTTCACCAGAGGAACAAAGAATGGTAGAAGGAGGCGATATAACCTACAGAAAATTTATTAATAATTCAATTGAAGAAATTCGTGAGTTAAAGGCTTTCTTCAATCAATAAAACGTTTATAGAAGTATGTATTTGTAGAATAAAAATCGATCTTCATTTAGTACTCGTTTAAATTTAGCGAAAAACGCGATATTTTCGAAGAGCTTGACGTTGAAATATTTACAATTCCAAGTAATCACAGTCAAAGAACATCCATGTCGGTCTCTCCTTTCTTGGTTAGTGCGCCTGGTAAGGTAATAATATATGGAGAACACTCAGCAGTTTATGGTAAACCAGCTATTGCCGCAGCACTTAGTTTGAGAGCATATTTGTTAGTTACACCAAGTGAAGATGTGAACGAAATAAGATTGGATTTTCCAGATATTGGGTTATCGCATTCTTGGAATAAAGAAAACATACCTTGGGAAGATGTCAGAAAATTCGTTACGTTTAAAGATGAAAAGCCCGTTGTTACGGAGGAATTAGTACCAGAAATAGTTGATTTATTGGGTACGGTTTTGGCTGAAGTTGAATCTAAATTGCATTATACCGCTTGTCTATGCTTTCTCTACTTGTATGCAATTTTATCTAATAAGGATGTCCCAGGTATGAGGTTTATTGTTAAATCGACATTACCCATTGGAGCAGGGTTAGGATCTTCAGCCTGTACAGCCGTGTGCCTTGCAAGCGCCTTGGCTCGTCTTGGTAAACATGTTTCAGCGGCATGCCATACTTCTACTGAAAAGGTTACTAAGAAAGAAAATTCTGATCTAGACTTCATTGATAGCTGGTCTTTAATGGGTGAAAAATGCTTTCACGGTAATCCTTCGGGAATTGATAACGCTGTGGCTACGTACGGTGGTGCTATTATGTTTCAAAGAACAACGATACCATCCAACCCATCTGTCCGTACTACTATGAGAAATTTTCCAGCTATCAAATTATTACTTACAAATTCCAAAGTGCCAAGAAGCACAGCTGCATTAGTAGGTAATGTTGCTCAAGTAAATATGACCTATCCTAAATGCGCAGGCCCAATTTTAGATGCAATGGGGCATTTAGTATTTGAGGCATATCAAACAATGATTAGACCATCTTTCGGTAAAGAAGAGAAAGATCAATTACGTGAATTAGTCAATATTAATCATGGACTATTGGTTGCTTTGGGTGTTTCCCACCCTGCCTTGGAAAAAATCAAAATCATCGGAGATACTCATGGTATAGGTTCTACTAAATTAACTGGAGCTGGAGGTGGTGGTTGCGCTATTACTTTAGTTCGCGATGACGTAGAGGAAGAAGTAATTCAAAAGGCAATCAAAGAATTTGAAGACGAAGGATATGAAACTTTCGAAACTTCGTTAGGCGGTAAGGGAGTAGGGTCATTATCATTAGAGGATGTTGACAAAGACAAAAGGGATACTGTATTTTCAGCCGAAGTTTTTTCTAGCTACAAGGATAGAGACGAAGTTGAAAAGGCATTAAAATCCGACGTATACGAATCTTGGAGGTTTTGGTAGTTTCAAGTCATAATAAAATAATAGATTGCAAAACGACATGTTGCTAATGTATATAAACTATTTACAGCTTTAACATAGAAATTAAATACCTCTGTTAAATTCCAAGTATTCAACCTCATTACCATTTTTGTCTTTTAAGCCATGGAATTTTTCTTCCAATTGAGCTGCCAATAATTGCCTTCTTTGAGGGAATATTGCTAATGCAAATGGTAAAGCTGCCAAAGCAGTTGTGAAAATTAATCCCATATTAGTAGCGATCTCCCACTTTTTGGATTTACCCTTTAAGAAACCTGATTTCTGTAATCTGACTAAAATTAAAGGTGGAATAACCATCACTGGTGTTGCGTTTATAACACGACTGGCAGCAGTCTCACTAACAGCATAAACAGCAGCAGTTTGAGAGATACCGACTTCTTTTCCTTCTTTATCGTAGACATTAATACCTTTTTTAATTTCTTCACTTCTCATTAAGAATACATTGACAACACCTGCAGACACAACGGCTGCAAATGGAACTAAACGACCCAAAATCATTCTAGTATTAGGCCTTAATGACTTCAATCTTGGAACTACAGCATTTAAACCTAAAGCAACTGAACAAGAAGCAGTGACTGCCATAGTATAGTTTGTAATAATCTGTTGAGTGCTCAAAGGATGAGACTTATTAGCATTAGCAGTATTAATAGCAACGTTTAAGGACTGGTTCGCCACCTGCCAAAATATAGTTCCTGCCGGACCTAAGTTTGGAGTCAACATACCAGCTGTAACAACTAAATTAGACAAGACGCATGAACTCATTCTAAATGGTAAAAATACGGTTTCTCCAGTATCTGGATGTAACGTGGAATCTAAAACTCTTTTAGCCCTCCATAATTCTGGAGTCATAGTTGGTCTTACACCATTACGGTATTCCCAGATCATTATCTTTGCTGTTTGAATGTCTTTGGTAGAATTCAACAACATTGTTGGATCGGAGATTTCAGCACAATGTTTCACTCTTCCCCAATATGACGATAAATCATACTTTGATTCAGGTAATGGAACTGGTCCCGAGATTGAGGATGCCATATTCAGGATGCTTATGTATAATAATTGATACGATAAATTGTGGATTTAGAGGGTTCGATGAGTGGTGAAATGCGATTAAATTTAATTTTTGCACAATCGTTCTACACAATAAAAACTGAAGACAGCATGGTAACGAAATTAGGTATAACATTAGGTATAGGCGTTGATATCATCAAAACAAGTAGGTTTAAAGAATTACTATTATCAAAAGGTGAACTCAATTCACGATTTACTAGTAGAATATCATCAAGAATATTACATCCAGAGTTCGAGTTACCGAAGTTCAAAGAATTTAAGGATAACAATAAATTGAACGAATGCATATCTCTAATATCAGGTAGTTGGGCTTCAAAGGAAGCAGTTTATAAAACCTTGGATGATGAGTATCAAAGACAATTTCAGTTTAAAAATTGGTATAGATATTATAATGAACATGGGAAGCCTTTTATACGAAGTGATTTCTACAAGGAGGAAAACGAAGAGTTTCTATTGAGTGTTTCTCACGACGATGGGTTATTAGTAGCAACTGTCTTGAGACAGAAAATTTACGAATTGACGAACGAGGATTTATAGGTAATTAAAATAATTATAAGTATAAGACAATATTGAAAAGTAATCTATCTACGATTTGACGACAAGATTATTCCCATTCGACGGTTGCTGGTGGCTTCGAAGTGATATCGTAAGTGACACGAGCAACACCATCAACTTCATTAACAATTCTTGAAGCGGTCTTCTTCAAGAAAGCAGCTTCAAAAACAAACCAATCAGCAGTCATAAAATCAGTTGTCTCGATGGCTCTTAAAGCGATGACTTGTTCATAAGTTCTTTGGTCACCCATAACACCAACAGACTTAACAGGTAATAAGGCAGCGAAAGCTTGAGAAATGTCCTTGTACAAACCAGCTTTTTTAATTTCTTCAATGAAAATGTTGTCAGCTTCACGGGCAATTTTAAGTTGTTCTCTGGTAACTTCACCTAAAACTCTAATAGCTAAACCTGGACCTGGGAAAGGATGTCTCCAGACCAAGTCGTGAGGAACACCCATGATTTCACCTAAGTGACGAACTTCATCTTTAAATAATTCTCTCAAAGGTTCAATCAATTTTAATTTCATATCTTCTAACAAACCACCGACATTGTGATGGGTCTTGATAGTTTGAGATGGTCCCTTGAAAGAAATAGATTCAATGACGTCTGGGTATAAAGTACCTTGTAATAAATATTCGATTTCTTGACCAGATGCTGGCTTAATCTTAGCAGCTTCAGCTTCAAAAACATGGATGAAGTTGTTACCAATGATCTTTCTCTTCTTTTCTGGATCAGTAACACCCTGCAATTTACTCAAGAATAAATCGGTAGCATCCACAACAGTCAAATTGATACCTAAACCTTCAGTCAAAGTCTTGTAGACTTGCTCAGTTTCGTTTAATCTCATTAAACCATTATCAACGTAAATCGCATGGAAACGGTCACCGATGGCTTCTTTCATAATCTTAGCACCGACAGTAGAGTCGACACCACCAGAAACAGCACCAATAACTTCGGCAGTTGGACCGACTAATTTTTGAATTCTGGCGATTTCAGTATCAATGAAGTTTTCCATAGTCCAGTTGTTTGAGGCTTGACATATGTCAATAGCAAAGTTTCTCAATAAAACCTTACCTTGTTTGGTATGGGTGACTTCTGGATGGAATTGAATACCAAAAATGTTTTCCTTTTCGTTGGAAATGGCAGCGAATGGGGAGTTGTCAGAGGTAGCAACAACCTTGAAACCAGTTGGTAAAGCGTGCAATTTGTCACCGTGAGACATCCAGACTTGAGAGTGGTCAACGCCCTTGAATAAAGAACAAGATGAATCTTCAACATTCAAGGTGGCTGGGCCGTACTCTCTCTTGTCACCTCTAGCAACACCCTTACCGTTAATCCAAGCTAATTCTTGCATACCGTAACAGATACCCAAGATTGGCACATTCAACTTGAAAATATCGTGGTCAACGTGAGGAGATCCGTCTTCGTACACAGAGTATGGTCCTCCAGACAAAATGATACCCTTTGGTTTCCAGGTCAATTCTGAAATCTTTTGGGTGCATGGCAACATTTCAGCGTACACATTAAATTCTCTCAAACGACGAGTGATTAAATGGGAGTATTGGGAACCAAAATCCAAAACCAAAATGGTGTCGAAAACCTTCGAAACTTCAATTGGAACGTCAGCAGGATTAACCATTTTTGCTATTATTATTCTTATCTATGCTATTTGATATTAAAACGAGAAATTAATTCCCAAGATCTAAAACCAGATGATTATTTGATGATATTTTCCAGTGTATTTATATTAATTTTTTTTTTTATTCAATGCTCATCGAAAATTTTCTTGTCACACGTCCGACGGAGTCAATCAGATTTATGACAGTTGACGGCATTGATATCTATTTTTACGATTGGCTATCATCTCTATACGTATACGCAACTATACGAGTCCTC